GGGCCTGGATCTCCCATCATCATAGTTGGAGGGAAAAAGTCCACTTTACCTCCCTCATCTTTTGCGATAGTCAGCTTTGCCTCCCTGATCCCGAAAACCAGAGAAACGACCTCCCTCATCTATCCAAACCATGCACATGACCCCATTCCTGGTTTCTACTGTGATTTTGGCTTTGTTGGCGCCACGGTGGATATGGGCCAAGCTGACTCAGCCCCAGGCTAAATAGAAAGGAAGAGGTCCCCGTGAGCCAAAAAAATTCCCCCCAAATTACAACCTTAGCTCGCACACAGGCGGCAGCATAGCGCGTGGCCTTGTTCGTCCACGCCGGAGACGACGCCCACGCTGGCAAACGGAGAAGGGGAGCAGCGGCGGGGCGGTGGGATCTGGGCGCTGGTCGGGCGCTGGGCGCAGGGCGCAGCGCGCAGGCAGGAGCATTGCCGCTGCTCGAGCGCCGGTCGCCGCAAGCAGTGAAGCACATGATTTGTGCTGACCAGGGTGAGCGGTAAGGCACAAATGGATCTGTGTAGTTTTGAGTTGTTTTTGTTTCGGATTCCTTGATTCCCTTGGAATTTGTGTTATTTAACTAGTGATTGGTATATCTGACTATGATTATAGCCTTTGCTTTATAGTGTTTGTCATATTTTAAGGCCAACAGGCGCCTTTTTGTAGCACTTGTAGTCATATTTTAAGCACTAATGTTTATTGGACCGATTTGATCAGTACTGAACCGCATAGCATGTATGTTTTGCATGTAGGCTTCAGGTGCTTAGCAATGGATGGTTGTGACTTGCTCCCTGTTCGGTTCCATTTTAATGGGGAGTTCGTGAGGAAAAGCGATAGACTGTTTTATGATAGAGGAAATGAAGCTATCTTTTATAGACCGAGATAAGATGTCACTGCCTAAAGTTGTTGGTCATCTCCGTGACCATTGCAATGTCAAAGAAGGCACAATGTTGCATTGGCTATTTCTAGGGACAAACATGAGTACAGGCCTAAGAGCTCTGGTTGATGACAAAGTGTGCCAGTACATGTCTAACAACACTACTAAAGATGGTGTTGCTGATGTGTTCGTTGAAAATCACGAGCTGGATGCAATAGCTGAAGCAAGTGAGTATGAGGGAGAGATGGAAGCTGGCTCAGAGGATGATGACATAGAAGATGAAGATCTGCATCCTTTGGCTGTTTGGAGAAAATATGAAAGCAAAGAAGAAGTAGAGAAGCAAGTTGCCCTTGTTAGAGAATTTTACAGTAGTCCAAGTAAAGGGAAAGAACAAGCAAAGCACATGCCTGGAGAGACAGCGAGAGAAAGTGAGCCTAATGTAGAAGAGAAGTCTAACACTGACAGTGAGTACATGCCTGGAGACTCATGCAGTTTAGGTGATGATGAAGAAGCAGACCAAATACATAGGAAATTTAAGGATTTCAAGAAGAAGTTCAAGAGGGGTGAGGCAACAAGCTTAGATGATGTGATATATGAGGGTGTTGCATCTAGGCCTGGAACTGAGCAAGATGTTGATGAAGGGCAAGGTAGCATGCATCCAAGATTTAACAAGAAGAATCCTATTGTCAATTTTAAGTTGGGAATGAAGTTTAGTTCTAAGAAGCAATTCAAGAAGGTTGTAATTAAACATGGCCTGGATGAGAGAAAGGTTATTGCCTTTGCTAAGGATGATCCAAAGAGGGTGAGGGCCAAATGTGACTGGAAAGGTTGTCCATGGGTATGTTTGTTGTCAAATACTTCTAGGTCTGATAGTTGGCATATATCTATATTTGTAAATAATCACATGTGTCCACCAAGAAGAGACAACAAACTAGTCACCTCAACTGTAATTGCTAAAAAATATGAGAAGTTTATTTTTGCCAACCCATGCTGGAAACTTGGGCATATGTTGCAGACAGTTCAAGAAGAAATGTTTGCCAAAGTTTCTATGTCCAAGCTAAAGAGAACTAAATTAGGGAAGTGGACAAGTGTTATATGCCCAAACATCAATAAAAAATTAAATTTCTATATATCTTTGTCTGCACACTGCCATGCCATCTGCAATGGGGAAGAGAAATATGAAGTTAAGCATTATGACAATAGGTTCACAGTGGATTTGGTATCAAAGACATGTTCATATAGGTATTGGCAATTGTTTGGACTTCCATGTTGCCATGTCATTTCTTGTATTTTGTTCAAGACCAACTGCCTAGATGAATATGTGGCCGACTGCTACTTTGTGTACCATTTCAAACAAACATACAGCCATTGCTTGAATCCAGTTGAGGGTATGAATAGCTGGCCCTCATCTGATAGGGTACCCCTTAGAGCTCCTGGTTATGTGAAGATGCCAGGCAGGCCAAAGACTGAGAGGAGAAGGGAGCCCACAGAAGTTAGAAAGGTCACTAAAATGCCAAAAACTGGAACTGTTATCAAATGCAGCAAATGCCACTTGCCTGAGCACAACAGGACAACATGTACCAATATAAGTGGAGCAGGAAGTTCACAGGCAGGAGGATCTCAGTCAGCCGGAGGTAGCTCACAGCCAAAAGGAAATGAGTCATTTGCAAGATCACAGCCAACAGGATCTCATTCGGCTGCAGGAAGTAACCAAAATGCTATTGTTGTGCTGTCCAACACACAAAAGAGCAGCACAAGTGGTACAAAAAGGAATTCCACAACTGATGTATCTACTGCACAGAGCAACAAAAAGGTAAGTTTACCTATATCTCAAAGTTTTAACTTATGCATCTTGTATTTCAAATTCATTCTTCGAACATCATGTACATCTTGCTTTATCTGATTTATGTAGGCAAAGGCAACAAACTCATAGAACATCATCAAATCAAGTGCACGTGCAAGGGTTTCAACAATTCCTTCTGGGTCAGCTACAATAAACCAGCAAGCTAGAGTGCTCACTTCCAATGTTAATTCTAGTGTGCATGTACAGTTAACTGGTGGGACTGCATCTATGACTATGTCAGCTCAAGAACCGGCCAAGAAGAAGCCCAAGCCTGCTCCAAAGCAATCTGGAATTGCTCCACTCCAAATGCTTCCTCCATGGCAATCTGATAGGTTGTGATGTGTACAGCCTGCTGGCTGTATGCCAAACTTGAATAATTATGTAGGCAGGAAACTTAAGTTGTTGATTACCTTTTATGTATGTCAAACATCTGGCTTTTATCTATTTGCTACTTATGCCATGTATGGCAATTATTTGCACTTTTATCCATTCGTCAGTGTTGTGTTATCTGTGAGTACATGCCTATGTTATCTGTATGGTTCCTGCGTAGTGCAATTATTTGCCTATGTTATCTGACATTATTATGGTGTATGCATTGGTTCCTGCATAGTGCAAATATAAGATTCAGCATGTATTACTTTATTTCTTTTCTAGCACGACAAGAGACAGCTTGTTGGCAAAAAAAGAAGGGAATTTGATTCATGCCATTACAAAGGGTAACATCCTGCCGATGCCGGCAAACATTGACTACTTATACATTTGCATCACAACCAACACAAGGAGAATGGTAGAATTGAAACCTAACAACACTAGGACAGCAATACCAACACACATCATCCAATTCAAATGTCCTTGCTTCTTCTTGCCTCCCTTCTTGGCTGAAGCTATAGTCCTGTGCTCATACACATCAGCAACTTCTTTCTTCATCACCTGTTCATACATCTCAGCTTGCACACTATCATCTGTCATCTCCAATAGATGGTAATGACACATCTTAGATTCTGAAAGCATCCCATAATTAACAAGAAAGTTGGCATATTCTTCTTCGAACATGTAGAAATCACAAAGAGAAAACTGCAATGCCAAACCAACAAAATAAATCACAAACCCTAAATTTCAATTACCATCGGCAATTTCAATAAGGAAACCAAACCTTCTTGTACTTCCTCGGGCATTTGAAGAACCTTTCCATTGGGTGCTTGTCTGATTTTGACAACAGCTCTAAAATCCTCCCCATGCCATGATAAGGACACTAGATCGTGACAACCCACTCTCCTAGCGGTGGCTCTCCCACGAAAATTGGTGCATGGCAGGAGAACACCTTGACGTGTTAGGGTCCATGGGGGAGGCATGCGGCAGCAGTGCGGAGGCAAGGAAGAACTAGCGTCGTGGCCAAGGGGTGGCTAGGGTGCGTGAGCGAGGGCCCGCTGGGGATGCTCTGCATGCTGTGGCTGCACTTGCTCAAGCGCTTAGCGCTCGACCTGGGCCAGCCAGATCCCACCGCCCGCCCCACTGCTCCCTTCTCCGTTTTGCGCGTGGCGTGCTGTCTCAGCGATGGACGAACAAGGGCAAGGCTATGTTTGCCACTTTGTGTGCGAGCTAAGGTTGTAATTTGGGGGGAATTTTTTTGGCTCACGGGACCTCTTCCTTTCTATTTAGCCTGGGGTTGAGTCAGCTTGGCCCATATTCACCGTGGCGCCAACAAAGCCAAAATCACAGCTGAAACCAAGAATGAGGTCATGTGCATGGTTTGGATAGATGAGGGAGGTCGTTTCTCTGGTTTTCGGGATCAAGGAGGCAAAGCTAACTATCGTAAAAGATGAGGGAGGTAAAGTGGATTTTTTCCTAGTTGGAGCAGAATTTGATGGGCCAACTTGTATTGGGCCAGCCGAATAACCAAAAGTCGGTTGAGCCCAAGTCGGTTCGTGGGTCTCCAACCTATCTTCTCGTCAGACATCATCTGCTCTCTGCCGCGAAGCGCTCTCGCTTTCGTTTTCCATCCGTCAGATCGAAACAAATCAGATACTCACTCCGCCGCTACGAGTCCTCCGCCGCCGCCGGGAGAGCGCGAGGAGGACCCTTCCTCGACCCGCCGCACGACCAAAGGTATACCTGTCTGACACTGCTCTCTCCCCCACACTGCCGCTCCTCTTCTGCTTCGATTTCCACCTCCTATTGCGCTGCGTTGCCTCGGCTCTCCAGATTAGATGGTTAGGGTTTTCAGATTCGATAATTTGTCCTGCTGATTCCGACCCACCTTCCTCCGCCGCAGCTGCCATGGCCAACCTCGGCGGCGGCGCCGAGGCGCACGCGCGGTTCAAGCAGTACGAGTACCGCGCCAACTCCAGCCTCGTCCTCACCACCGACTCCCGCCCGCGGGACACCCACGAGCCCACCGGCGAGCCCGAGACTCTCTGGGGCAGGATCGACCCCAGGTCTTTCGGTGACCGCGCCGTCCAGAACAAGCCGCCCGAGCTCGAGGAGAAGCTCTCCAAGTCGCGCACCAAGAAGTCTAAGCGCGACGCTGCCGCCGCGGTCGACCCCGACCTCCCCCGTCGCGACGCCAAGCGCAGGCGCCGCGCCGCTTCCGCCCAGGAGGTCTCCGTCCTCTCCCTCACCGACGACGCCGTCTACAAGCCCCAGACCAAGGAGACGCGCGCCGCCTACGAGGCCTTGCTGAGTCTCATCCAGCAGCAGCTCGGCGGCCAGCCCCTTGACGTCCTCGCCGGGGCTGCTGACGAGGTGCTCGCCACGCTCAAGAATGACAAGGTCAAGAACCCTGATAAGAAGAAGGACATTGAGCAGCTGCTCAACCCTATCTCCAGCCAGCTCTTTGACCAGCTTGTCTCCATCGGCAAGATCATCACCGACTTTCATGATGCGGCGGCCAGTGATGCTGCCGGTGCGCCTTCTGCCGACGGCATGGACACCACCCTGGATGATGATGTTGGTGTTGCTGTTGAGTTTGAAGAAGATGAAGACGAGGAGAGTGATTTTGATCAGGTACACCTTTATTCATATGTTTAACTGACTACTTGGCTTTGACCCCGACATTACTTGCTTACCACCGTATGTTTGTGTTTGTGCCTACCAGGTGCAGGATGAGCTGGATGAGGATGACGAAGATGACATGGCTGAGTTGAATGGTCCTGGAGGTATGCAGATGAGCGGTGAGTTAGACGATGATGACATGCAGAACGCCAACCAGGGGCTGGCTGTCAATGTTCAGGACATCGATGCTTACTGGCTCCAGAGGAAGATATCCCAGGCATATGGGGATGGGGACATTGATGCCCAGCAGAGCCAGAAGCTTGCCGAGGATATCTTGAAGATCATTGCTGAGGGCGACGACAGAGACGTCGAGAATCGCCTTGTCATGCTCTTGGACTATGAGAAGTTTGATCTCATTAAGTTGCTGCTGCGCAACCGTCTCAAGATTGTTTGGTGCACCCGCTTAGCCAGGGCTGAAGATCAGGAACAGAGGAAGAAGATAGAGGAAGAGATGGCAAGTGACCCAAGCTTGGCTCCAATATTGGAGCAGCTACATGCAACCAGAGCATCTGCAAAGGAGAGGCAGAAGAACCTGGAGAAAAGCATCAGGGATGAGGCTAAGAGGCTCCTCAACAATGATGCTGCTGCTGGCGCTGATGGTGCCAGGGACCGCAGGGCAGCCGAGCGGGACATGGAGAGTGGATGGCTGAAAGGACAGAGACAGCTGCTTGATCTCGAAAGCCTCTCGTTCCATCAGGGTGGTCTCTTTATGGCTAACAAGAAATGTGAACTTCCGACTGGATCGTTTAGAACCCCTCATAAGGGATATGAGGAGGTTCATGTGCCAGCACTGAAGGCTAAGCCCTATGAAACAGGGGAGAAGATTGTCAAGATATCTGATATGCCAGAGTTTGCACGGTCAGCTTTCGATGGGATGACCCAGCTGAACAGAGTTCAGAGCAGGGTCTATGATACTGCTCTTTTCAAACCAGACAATATCCTTCTCTGTGCTCCGACTGGTGCTGGCAAAACAAATGTGGCGTGCTTACCATCCTTCAGCAGATCGGTCTGCATATGCAGGATGATGGAGTGTTTGATAATACCAAGTACAAAATTGTCTATGTGGCCCCGATGAAAGCATTGGTTGCTGAAGTCGTTGGAAACTTGTCAAGCGTTTGGCAGGTTACAATGTTACTGTTAGGGAGCTCAGTGGAGACCAGAACTTGACCAAGCAACAGATTGATGAAACACAGATTATTGTCACGACACCTGAGAAATGGGATATTGTGACCAGGAAATCAGGGGACAGAACCTATACCCAAATGGTGAAGCTGTTAATCATTGATGAGATCCATCTGCTACATGATAACAGAGGGCCTGTTCTGGAGAGCATTGTTGCTAGGACAGTCAGGCAGATTGAGACGACCAAGGAGCATATTCGTCTGGTTGGGCTCTCTGCGACTCTACCAAACTATGAAGATGTTGCATTATTCTTGCGCGTTCGCAAAGAAAGCCTCTTCTATTTTGACAACAGTTACCGACCTTGCCCTCTTGCTCAGCAATACATTGGGATCACTGTGAGGAAGCCACTACAGAGGATGCAGTTGATGAATGAGATTTGTTATGAGAAGGTTATGGCTGCCGCTGGTAAGCATCAAGTGCTTATATTTGTACACTCAAGGAAGGAGACGGCAAAGACTGCCAAAGCCATCAGAGATACGGCGTTGGCAAATGACACAGTCAGCCGCTTTCTGAAGAACGAGAGTGCAAGCCAAGAGATCCTTGGCACTCATGCTGAACTTGTCAAAAACAATGACCTTAAAGACCTTTTGCCTTATGGGTTTGCTATTCATCATGCTGGGATGGCAAGGGTTGACCGTGAGCTTGTTGAGGAACTTTTTGCTGACAAGCACATTCAAGTACTTGTATCCACTGCTACCCTTGCATGGGGTGTCAATTTGCCTGCACATACTGTTATCATAAAGGGTACGCAGATTTACAACCCAGAAAAAGGTGCTTGGACAGAACTAAGCCCTCTGGATGTCATGCAGATGCTTGGTCGTGCAGGAAGGCCTCAGTATGATACACATGGAGAGGGAATAATCTTGACTGGCCACAGTGAATTGCAGTTCTACCTGTCTCTTATGAACCAGCAGCTGCCTATTGAGAGTCAGTTCATATCCAAATTGGCTGATCAATTGAATGCAGAGATTGTTCTGGGGACTATTCAGAATGCTCGTGAAGCATGCTCGTGGCTTGGCTATACTTACCTCTACATTCGGATGCTCCGCAATCCAACATTGTATGGTCTGCCAGCAGATATCTTGGAGAGTGATAAAACGCTTGATGAAAGGAGAGCTGATTTGGTAAGTGAATTGCAGTTTTTAAAGTTCTGTGGTAGTTTGCTCGTCCTTATACTGTTTTATTTCTCAATATTGTTTTGGTCCTTGCCTGTGTTAATGTGATCTAATTGCCGTAGGATCATCTTATTTCGCTAATCTATTTCAAGAGGTCACCTGCTCCATAGGTTCACAACTGCACATGCAAAATATTTCTTAACTGCTTTGTACAGTCTTGTAGTTAATAATCGTATTAACCTGCATCATTGATCAATAGCTCTCTGCAGTAGGGCATACTTAGCACTAAGAGATGTTCACTGTGTGGGGGCACAGTTTTAAATGCTATTAAAAAAACATTTACTTTCAGTGCCTAACTGCTGCTCTACTAGGGCAATTGTATACTTAGCTAATACCAGAGGTACAGTAAGCACTTGCAGTGTAGGATGGCGTCATCTTATTGTTCCTTTTCTTTTGTTGCTGCATGTGTAGTGGTTGCACTCATCTTATTACCATTACAGACTTGTATTTAGCACCCTTTCACATGCAATCGTAATGACTATGCAAGGTATATAACGAATTGCTACAGCCCCCCCCCCACACACACACACACACACACCAACCCAGGGTCGAGGTATCCCTTGCTTGTATGTACCACCTGCACATTATGTGCGGTACTACCTCCGTCCCAAAAAAAGGTCATTCTAGGTTTCCATTAAATCAAACATTCTTAAGTTTGACTAGGTTCGTAGAAAATATTATCAGCATTTGTATCTCCAAATATGTGCATTATCAAAATATATTCCATGCTTCATCTAATGGTACCTATTACGCATCATAAATATTAGTAACTTTTTTGTATATATTTGGTCAAACCTGAGATTGTTGACTCCTCGAAAAGCGAGAATCCCATTCTTTTTGGGATGGAGGGAGTATTTCACATGTGCATATAATAATAATGTAGCGTAGGTAATGATAGACATATATTGAAATGATTTTTTTTTTTTCTCATAGGTACACATATTGAATGCATGTAATTTTGTTTTGATAGATGTTACAACTTGTTGTACAAGAATTTTGTTTCAGAAAGTATAATATCTATATCTGTATTTATGCAAACATGACTTGAAGGAAATCATACTGTGGTCCTCAAACCCATAATAATAATATTTTTTTGTTAGAAGAGAAGATGTAGGTTGCTGATATAAACCCTGTTTTGCTGAAGTATTTTGCTGAATAGAAAAAGTTTTGGGCTTGCAATTATTCCATACCAGTCGTTGATTTTACTGCTCCTTGATATTGCATAGATTTTGTTGATGTTACAGCATACTATCTCTGCCTGTTCTGTTCTTGATCTTTTATAATTTTTGTTCTGCTGCAGATACATTCCGCTGCAAATCTACTGGATAGGAACAATCTGATAAAGTATGACAGGAAAACAGGATACTTTCAAGTTACTGACCTGGGAAGGATTGCCAGTTATTACTATATCAGTCATGGAACTATTTCAACATACAATGAGTACCTGAAACCTACAATGGGTGATATCGAACTGTGCCGACTGTTTTCTCTGAGTGAAGAATTTAAGTATGTAGGTGTCAGGCTTGATGAGAAAATGGAACTGGCAAAGCTTTTGGATCGTGTGCCAATACCTGTGAAAGAGAGCTTGGAGGAACCCAGTGCAAAGATCAATGTTCTGCTGCAAGCATATATTTCTAGGTTGAAACTGGAAGGCCTTTCTCTTAGTTCTGATATGGTCTACATCAGACAGGTAGCGCCATCTTTTCTCTGTCGACTATAATTTATAATTCATTTGCATGGTTTCACCTACTTACTGCTCTCTCTGAACCTGAGTTTCTTGCTTATATTGTATTGTATTGTATAGTTAATGTTTTTCCCCCTTTTGTAATGCAGAGTGCTGGCCGTCTCTTACGAGCACTATTTGAGATTGTTTTGAAGAGGGGATGGGCTCAACTAGCGGAGAAAGCGCTGAATCTTTGCAAGATGGTTGATAAACAAATGTGGAGTGTCCAAACTCCCTTGCGGCAGTTTACTGGAATTCCAAAGGAGATCTTGATGAAACTCGAGAAGAAGGAGTTGGCTTGGGAGAGGTACTACGATCTGTCCTCACAAGAAATTGGTGAACTGATCCGCTATCCCAAGATGGGGAGGCAGCTGCACAAGTGCATCCACCAGTTACCAAAGCTGAATCTTTCAGCCCATGTCCAGCCCATTACTCGTACAGTTTTGGGTTTTGAGCTGACAATTACACCTGATTTCCAGTGGGATGATAAGGTACATGGATACGTGGAGCCCTTTTGGGTTATTGTTGAGGATAATGATGGCGAGTACATTCTTCACCATGAATATTTCATGCTTAAGAAACAGTATGCTGATGAAGATCATACATTGAACTTCACAGTGCCGATATATGAGCCACTGCCTCCTCAGTATTTCATTCGTGTTGTGTCTGACAAGTGGCTTGGTTCTCAGACAATTCTCCCTGTCTGCTTTAGGCACTTAATTCTACCAGAAAAATATGCTCCACCAACTGAATTGCTTGATCTGCAGCCTCTGCCTGTTAGCGCATTGAGAAATGCAAGATATGAGGGCCTCTATAGTGCTTTTAAGCATTTCAATCCCATCCAAACTCAAGTATTCACTGTCTTGTATAACAGCGATGACAGCGTGTTGGTCGCTGCGCCAACTGGCAGCGGGAAAGGCGATATGTGCGGAGTTTGCTGTACTAAGGAACCACCAGAGGGCAGTGTCTGGTGAGAGCAACAACATCTTGGGTTGTTTATATAGCTCCAATTGAAGCTCTTGCGAAAGAAAGATACAGGGACTGGAGCGGAAATTTGGAGAGTTTGCCAAGGTAGTTGAGCTCACTGGTGAAACAGCAGCTGATTTGAAGCTTCTGGATAAAGGTGAGATCATAATCAGTACTCCTGAAAAGTGGGATGCGCTGTCTCGCCGGTGGAAACAGCGAAGCACATCCAACAGGTCAGCTTATTCATAGTTGATGAACTTCATCTACTTGGATCTGATAAGGGACATGTTTTGGAAGTCATTGTATCTAGGATGAGGCGTATTTCCAGTCATATTGGCAGTAACATACGGATCGTAGCACTTTCAGCATCACTTGCTAATGCTAAAGATCTCGGTGAATGGATCGGTGCCACCTCTCATGGCCTTTTCAACTTCCCTCCAGCAGTGAGACCTGTGCCATTGGAAATTCACATCCAGGGTGTGGATATAGCAAACTTTGAGGCAAGGATGCAAGCAATGACAAAGCCTACCTACACTGCCATCACACAGCATGCAAAGAACAGTAAACCTGCCCTGGTGTATGTACCGACAAGGAAGCATGCAATGTTGACTGCATTGGACTTGTGTGCGTACTCTAGTGTTGAGGGTGCTGGAACACCATTTCTTCTTGGGTCAGAAGATGAGATGGATACTTTCACTAGAGGTGTTGAAGAAGAGACGCTTAAGAATACACTTAAATGTGGTGTAGGTTATTTGCATGAGGGTCTAAGTGAGCTTGATCAGGAACTTGTAACCCAGCTGTTCCTTGGTGGGAGGATCCAAGTGTGTGTTGCAAGCAGCACAATGTGTTGGGGAAAACCATTGCCTGCTCATTTGGTTGTTGTCATGGGGACTCAGTATTATGATGGCCGGGAGAATGCTCACACCGATTATCCAATTACAGATCTGCTTCAAATGATGGGTCATGCCAGCAGACCACTTCAAGATAACTCAGGGAAATGTGTTATATTGTGTCATGCGCCTCGCAAAGAGTACTACAAGAAGTTCCTTTTTGAGGCCTTCCCTGTCGAGAGCAATCTTCACCATTTCTTGCATGATCACATGAATGCTGAGGTGGTGGTTGGTGTTGTAGAGAATAAGCAAGATGCTGTGGATTATCTTACTTGGACTTTCATGTATCGGCGGCTGACAAAGAATCCTAACTTCTACAATCTTCAGGGTGTAAGTCACCGGCATCTTTCAGATCATCTTTCTGAGCTAGTTGAGACTGTCCTGAATGATCTTGAATCAAGCAAGTGTGTGGCTATAGAGGAGGACATGTACCTGAAGCCCCTCAATCTTGGCCTTATTGCTTCATACTACTATATTAGCTACACAACTATTGAGCGTTTTAGTTCTATGCTGACCCAGAAGACTAAGGTGAAAGGACTCCTAGAGATTCTAGCATCTGCTTCAGAATATGCAGAGCTTCCGGGTCGTCCTGGTGAGGAAGAATTCATTGAGAGACTCGTTCGCCACCAGAGGTTCTCTATCGAGAAACCCAAGTATGGCGATCCGCATGTGAAGGCCAATGCTCTGCTGCAAGCCCATTTTTCAAGGCACACAGTGGTTGGGAACCTGGCAGCTGATCAGCGCGAGATTCTCCTTTCTGCTCATAGGTTGCTCCAGGCAATGGTTGATGTTATATCCAGCAATGGTTGGCTTAGTCTTGCTCTTAGTGCAATGGAGCTGAGTCAAATGGTGACACAAGGCATGTGGGATCGGGATTCTGTGCTGCTTCAAGTTCCACACTTCGCAAAGGACTTGGCTCGGAGGTGCCAGGAAAATGAAGGGAAGCCCATCGAGAGTATCTTTGATCTTGCTGAGATGGGTGTCGATGAGATGCGGGATCTCTTACAGCTATCAAACTCTCAGCTGCAAGACATCATTGAATTTTTCAAGCGGTTCCCCAATGTTGATATGACCTATGAGGTCCGTGAGGGTGATGATATAACCGCTGGTGACAATGTAACCGTGCAGGTAACTCTGGAGCGTGACATGACTAACGTGTCATCTGAGGTTGGTCCAGTTCATGCGCCAAGGTTTCCCAAGCCTAAGGAAGAAGGCTGGTGGCTGGTGATTGGCGACAGCTCCACAAACCAGTTACTGGCAATCAAAAGAGTGGCACTCCAGAGGAGGGCGAGAGTGAAACTTGAGTTCTCCGCTCCTGCAGAGACTGGGAGAAAGGATTACATGATTTACTTGATGTCAGACTCTTACTTGGGCTGCGATCAGGAGTATGAGTTCACCGTTGATGTCAAGGATGCTGGAGGGGATTGATGATGAAGACTGTGACACTAGGTCGCATAGAAGCGGTAGAACTTCGAGTGTGTATTGTAACACAATATTAGTGTTTTGGAACATTCTGTGTTGTAACCTCTGAACTTGTGGAAGCTGTAGCTTATTTTGGATGTTAACTGGTGCACTTTGGGAGTTGCTGTCTTATCCTATTCTGATATTATTGTAAGGATTACGCTCGGTTATACTTGAGCCACACAGTATTTTGGATCAACTTGTTGCTTCCATAAGCTTGCTGCTGCTGTAATGTTTGATTTTAGTGACATGCAGAAAATGTTTTAACCTGTTGATGCACTAATGGTGTTGATGTTTTAACCTATTCTATTGGCAGGATAGCCTATAAGGTTCTGTTGTTTCGATCTATCCTCCTACTAAGATGGTGGATATGGTCATATGGGATGGATGCCTTCCTACCAGGTGTTTTGTCGATGCTGTGATACTCCTTTAATATTTTTGCAGTGCTGATCACCTGAATTGTCCAACAAGAACTATATAAACAATGTTTTGCTGCTTCTCAGAACAGATACCAGCGTCAAAGATTGCATACTCGAATAGCTCTAGGAAAGGTGAGGTCTTTTCCTTGAATTTTAGAAACTACTCAATTCATTCCAAATTATAAGACTCCAAATTATAAGACGTTTTAGCTTTTCTAGATTCATAGTTTTTGTTACGCATTTAGATATACAATATGTTTATGTATCTAGAAATACCAAAATGTCTTATAATTTGGGATAGAGGGAGTAGTTTTTTAATTTCAACACAATAGAATAAGTGTGTCTCACATAAGTATTCCAAATATGATCCTAACTAGAATTGCAAAAGGCCCTTTGTATACGATTAGACATTTTTTTCAAACCAAGGAACATTCTCCATTCCCATTTGTGTTGTAGTGGAAATTTGTATATGATGAAATTAGATGCATGGAGATATTCACTAGGTGCTTACAAAGAACAACTCAAGCTAAATAATGTTTCTCTGATTTAATACTCTCAAAAAGAAACAGGCAGCGAATTATCTTAAAAGAAATCTTGTGGGCAGAGCTTATTGGTAGAATGTGAATTAGTGTTGTGTCGCACCATTATCTAATATTCTCTTCATTTTCCAAATTATAAGACGTTTTGGCGCCTGCAGTCGTGGTCATAGCGTACCTCGGGTTGGGCTTGAAGACACTGACCCTGGCTCGTGTCATCATGGGATGACGTTGCGGTGATGGCGAGCTCTGCGACGCCCGCGAGCTTGTGCCAGGAGAGCCCTGCGTCGGCGTCGGCGTCACGGGGAATGTGGAAGAGGATACCGGTGGTCCATGTTTTTGTATCGTTGATTGCATCAAAATGAGTACTTGAGCATGGCATAAGTGGTTGTTGTATTGGGTGTCGCGTTGCTCTCGTAAAAATTCCCCAAACTTTGTTGGAACGTGCGGTAAACCACGTGTTGACGCTCTGTCCGTGAACCGGCGTTTAGCGTGACGAACTCACGTTGGCATCTCTCTATCTCCCTCTCTGGTTGCTATCTGGTCATGACGATTGCCTTGCTAGCTAGCCGGTAGTGTTGACCTTAGGTTCATAGAATTGGTTGAGCCTTCATCGAATCAGTGAGCAGTTTTTGGCCCGCTTTAAAAAGCGTGCGTGGCATCGTTCCTAGTTTCTTGACTTGAGGCCGCGGTCACCACGCGCGCGAGTGTGCTGCCAGTGACGAGCTTGGGCCGTGGCTGGGTGGCTGCCGCTGGTCAGTCCGCATTCCATTGTCGCGTGTCGCTTGGTGCCGCGCAACGCCTTCGCCTCGCCGTGGACGAGTCCCGCGGGCCAGCCCTGGTGGTCGGCCGGCTGTGCGCCAGGCCAGGCTTGGCCACCACCGCCCGCGTCGTGTGCACGTATTGCCAAGTCACGCACAGGACTGCACTCTGCCTTCCCTATCACCTTGCCTCGCCCTGTAGCGCGCGTTCACAGCCGCTCACCTCACCTACCCCGCTCCTACTCGTGCCGCCTCCTGCCGCATCGTGACGCCGCGTTGCCGTGTACACATGGACGCACAGGCACCCCCAAGGGCTCCACCCGAGCATTAACCACGCAACCCTTGCCCTCGCTCGTGAGGTTGTGTCCTCATGCAGCCATGCCTTGTCGGGTCTTGGCCGGGTCACCTCCGTCGGGGCCACTCCTTGTGACGTGGCGGTGGCAGTGCGCAGCTCTCCTCTTCCCTTCATAATCACCGACTTGAGCCCTCCCAGTCCAATTCCTCACACCGGTTTATATCTTAACAAGTTAACTAGGTGTCGCATTCTCATCGAGCCCAGCCTTGGTTTGTCAGTGGTCAATTTTGGTTTCTCCTCGCGCGCCGGTCATGTGCGCCGCCGTGACCAGAGGGTTGGGGGTAAGGCCCGTAGGAGTGGTAACAGTTTAATTCCCCGTAACCCTGAACTCGCCTTGACTCCCTCTATCCGATGCTCACACTATTTTGGCCAGGGAACTCGTTGGCGACGTGGTGGCGTGTCAGTGTCCGGCTTGGGGTGTCGCCGCCGTGCCTGGGCGCACGTGGCTAGACCATCTCAGCTTTTTCTTGCTTCAACCGTCACTATAGAGTACACCAGGGTGAGCTACTGATGCTTCTCCGCCATCTCTACCTTTCGTGAGGGCGTAGGCTCGCCGGAACAGTCGCGCCACCGCTGCGGATAGCCGCTCGCCGCTGCATCCCGTGATAGTGCGTCTCTGAGTCCCTAACTGCCACCCATCCTTGCGCGTTTAGCTGTAGATGATGGTCGGCCTCTTACTTCCATCGTAGAACGCCTAGGTTGCCCCGCGTAGCCGCCTTATGCCATCGGCCGCCGCGCCAGCGCGCGCGGGGTCCCCAGGGACCTCTCCGTGGTAAAGGCAAAAACATCCGAGGGTTTGGTTGCAAAGTTACTGATGGTAAGAATAGTGCGCATAGTAGTCGTCTTAATATCTAAAAGCTTGGGGGCCTTTTCTACAAAACAGCCAACGCGTGCGGGCGCCCCCGGCCTTGGGCCGTACTGGGCCGCCGCAACGCGTGCGCAGCCGCGCCGCGCTGGGCTGCTGGGCCAGAAGGGGTTGCTGCCGGCCCTTTTGTTTTTCTAATGTATTTTTAATTTAGTTTCTATGGTAAACTTATAAATTCAGTATAAAATTGTGTAGTTAACCAAAAATTGTGAAATTAATTTTGTTAGGTTTCTAAAATCATGATCTATCTACTAGTATATTTTTTCATATAGTTTTATAATATTTTCAAAAGTGATCTAATTAATTTGAGATGCTTAATTTTGTTAAGATATAAACTTAAAGGGATTTTTGTGATAAATTGGTGATAGTGTTGGCTCTAAAACTTTCACAGTAAATTCCTCACATTATTAGGTGCTCAGTGTAATTTTTGTAGCTCCATAATAATTAGTTTGCTAGGGTAGCTAAATGAGCCCTAGTTCAAACATATATGTTTAATCAATAAAATACCGAAACGCCTTTGGAATTGTAGGACTAAAACATTTTCCAGAGGCAAAGTTTACTTGACGATGTGGATACGCAGACTAGTACGTTAGTCATTAAGGCTAGCTCGTTAGCATGCGGAGCGTAATCGTATTTTAGAGTTATAGTTGTCGTTGATTATTTATATTTCTACGTTGCATCCACGTATATCATAATAGGAACAACAATGGATCATAGAGTCGACTGAAGTAGCGGAAAAAATGGTGCCTTGATGATCATGTCACTATGATGGAATGCTAACTTTTGGTTATATCTTATCCAGGCAAACTCCGGTGCATAACCCATATTATTCTGCACTTTATCTTATATATCATTATCCTACGAGTCCTACTAGTATGTCAGGATCGTGTAGATTGCTATGCTATATGATCCGGTAGAAGTCGAGTGATTATCTGTCACTCGCGAGAGATAGAAAATATATTATTGTTGTTATTATATTACTATCACATGGAATATATATGAAGGATAATTGGAGACCGGACGGAATGGTACTTTAGATCTGGTCTTGGTTAGGCATTCGAGTGAGGCTCGGATTGCACTTATTTCGCTTGTGTCGATTGAGGACCGTCCGATGTTGTGGATGGTAGTCAGGTCATAGACTTATTATTCTGAGCACATACTTGCTTATGGGAGCGGGAAGACTCGTTACGCTCTTGTCGTGGGTTCCGGCTCTTTCCGGACCGACTGATTAGAGACGGGGAAAGGTGGAGGTCTAAGCACCACATTGAGACCGGATCTCAAGTGTGGGGGCTTGGAGTCCAAGTTTGGACGGGGACCTAGACCCCGTAACAGGAGTGGAATGGATTGGTTTTGTTTGTACCTGTGGTACAAGCAAGGCATGTGTTTCGGGGTACCCAGCTGGGATACATTAGTTCATGAATCGTCGTTTTTGTGAGACAGTACCGACTTGGCTATGGTCTAGCACCATAGTAAGAACTGGAATATGAAAGATGATAAAATGGTTCTGATTACTCACCACCTGCTTGAAAGTAGCATATGTGCTTACATAGAATGGTTAATTAATGAACTAATGATAACTGCTAATAAAATTGACTATAAGGACGTACGTTTAGTAATGCTTCCTGTAGATGCATAACCCACAAGCCAGATACCCTTGTATATCCTTGGAGTCTTTTATTTTCCTCCTGTCGGGTAAGTCTTGCTGAGTACAATCAAGTACTCTGGGTTTTATTCCTCCTATTGCAGGTGACCGGAGGATACGTCGAGCTGACTCTTGTGTGTGGAAACCTTCTGGTGGGCTTAGAGAGGGTTCCTTTTCCGCTATGACCGTAGTGTTTATTTATAACCCTCACTAAAGTTTTTTATAAGATAAGATGTAAAATCTGCTAGCATCTCTTGTATAAAAATGTCAACTACGTTAATGCTCCACCATGTCATTAAATTAATCTTGCTTTCTCTGAAACTCTGATAACATTGTTATATTCCGCTGTTATAATAAATTGAGCTAATATTCTGTACTGTAATAAAGTG